GCCCAAGGCCGTTTCACAATACGATTATGAATATAGTGCGAAACTTATGCTCATTCATTTAAACCTCTTTACTATATTATTACTCATTGAGTTTTGTTCACTCTATATTATGTATGTATATGTAGGTGATTAGCAACATTGAGCCCAACCTTAGAGTCTGCTTTAGGAGTTAAGTCTCCAAGATGGAGCTTTTGTCTTTGACTTACATCATGTTATGATTTGTTTTGATTTTGCTAATGGTCTTGGGATATGTAAACTATAAGTGTGGAGTTTTTCTATGGTATATAAGTTGCATGGATATGTAAATGTGTGAATGTGCTATGATATAAGCAATGTATTTTTTTTTTTTATCATATTGGCACAGCTCAATGGAATTACATTATTGTGATATTCTTCTGCTTGTGGCCCCATTATGATAATTATTCTGTGTATTTGTTTGAGGCCGTAAGTAATCAAGTGATTACTGACCGGTTATGGTCTACCCACCAAATATAAAATTATATAAAAATGATAAGTCTTTTACATTTTTATTTTTTTTACCAAATTAATTGTTAGTATGTATTTAGATGGTAATCATGTAATGAGTGATTATTTTAGTTGATGTTTTTAGATGTCTATTGTAACGCCCTCAAAATAAACCCATAATAACATACAGTCAAGCTATAGGAAAGAGATATTATATTACAATCATCAGAGTATGCTTACAAAATGTATTACACGTTGACAACAAAAGTAACTGCCCTATGAGCTTACAACTTTCCAAGTCAACATTTGGTTACAAAAATAGAGTACTAACTCAAATACATATTTAGCCCTTGGCTTGAATTTACATGAAATACATCCAAAGAAAACAAAACAACAAAATAGTCTACCTGCCTCTAGTCTCCCAAACTATGTTCTTGAAGGTGGCATACCATTGGTACCTGAAAATGAAGTCCCATATAGGGTGAGTCATAACCCAGTAGAAATACACTAAACCAACTATAAACAGTGACTAAAACGATAACATTAGGTAGATGGTTCACACTTATATTCCAACGTATACCATGTTACGGTTTCATGACAATCATGTCCATATTACAATTCATTTTCCATTTCTTTTCCAACTATAAGTTTGAAAACAAGGCTCAGAGTTTGGCTACATAATTTAATGAGATGATAACTCATCACTAAAATACTTTCGAAATTTATAATGGATACCCTTTTTGGTGCTGTATCAGAGTCAACAAAAACATTTCCATACTCCACAAATGATACTGATATACATTTTAGTGCTATATCAAAGCAAACAAACACTTCTATGCTTCACAAATGATAATGATATACATTTGAGTGCTATATCAAATCAAACAAACACTTCCATACTTCACAAATGATACACATTTTAGTGCAGTATCAATCTCAAACAAAATCCGGTTTAGAGGTCCATCCCCCATCTTCCAATAAACCGTGGAGTACATCTCCCATCTCCTCCCACACAATGCAATGTATATAAGCAAGTATCATATACAAATTTAATCAATCAAGACAAATAATACACATTTTAGTGCTATATCAATGTCAAACAAAACACTTCTATAATTCACAAATGATACACATGGTAGTGCTGTATCAATGTCAAACAATATCCGGTTTAGAGGTCCATCCCCCATCTTCCAATAAACCGTGGAGTACATCCCTCATCTCCTCCCACACAATACAATGTATATAAGCAATCATTATATACAAGTTCAATCAATCAATACAAAACTTTGATGTATTATACCAACCACCCTATTCCATAGCATACTCAATTGATTAGTTTTAATTTGCCTAATCATCATGCATTGTCTACAACAATCAAGACTATCCTCCACCGATAGCCCAAAGCAGTTATTTCTAAACAGAAAATAAATACACCAAATGGATAAAATGTCAACATTTTGTCTAGGTGAGCGATAAATTAATCCAAATACACTCTTTGATCCCGTACCTTTCCAATTTGAATATTTCCTATTCAATTTCTCATTTCCCTAAATTAATTATACAAATTAATTTATCATAACAATTAGGGCTTTTCCCCATATTTACAATACCAACCTTAAGGTTCCATTCTCCATCGATAATCCAACACCAAGTCTATCTTCCAATGTATTACATATATAAGGGTTTATATGTTTGAAATCCCATCTTTTGAAAATTACACAAAGACCCCAAACTTTCTCAAAATTACCCAACAACCCCCAACATATCGAAATACCAAAATTTAAAGACAAAGCTCATAAGATGGAGTAGGATATCCCTACCTCGAAGTTAGAGCTCATACGGAGAAGAAGACCAAACTCAAAGTGCTCCAAACTCTAAACTTTTCGGATCAAAACGTAACCCTTGACGATCAACACACTTTTTGTAAAGGCCAAAGGGTAGGAGAACGCTCTCAAAAATGGCTTTTCAAAAAAGTAAAAGAGAGAGAGAAATTTGAAAAGTGATTCAAAAATACCTAGCTGCCAACTGATATACGCATGATCCGCTCGAGCCTCTAACTAGATGATTGTGTTGTTGTTAATAGATATTTTTGGATAGTTATCATGTAATAGATTATTATTAAGTTTTTAATGTGTAATTGATATGTTTAATATATGAAATATTTTTAATTTTGTATTTTTTGATATTATGGATTGGTTTAATAATGACATCAAAGTTGTCGCTATGTTTGACTTTTGAAAAAATAGAAATTAATTTCACTAAAATAAATATAAAAAAATATTTTGAAAAATTATTTCTACCCTTACAAAAAATAAAATTATATAAAAATGATGTATTTTCAATTTTTTTCACCAATTTAATTTTTAGTTTGTTAGAAAATTCTTCTAAGAAAATCAAACTAAACACAACTTTATAACTAAGAAAGTTTCAATATTATTCATTAAAAAAAATAGGCCATTACATTTCAAACAATATACAAGTTAACCAATACAAAATAAGTTGTATGATGACTTTGCCTTTGAAATAGATCGTTTGTAAAGAAAATAACTTTGATTGTCCTTATTTAGAAGAAGATTCAAAATTCATGATCAAATGTTTCACAATTGAAAAGTTAAGGATCAATGTGACACAAGTCCTAAACTATAGGGACCATTAATATAATTCACCCTTAGATATAAAAACAAAGTTCTCATTTATGTATATTTATAGTGTGAGACAGTAAAAATTAATAGACATTGTATATGTTCCATACTTCTTGAGTATTTGTTGTCCTTATCATAGTAGTATTTGTTGTCCGTATACATTGTAAACTCTGGTACACTGTGACGACATGACATGGTCATCGATGCCAACATACGGAAAAGAAACAACCTTACAACCAAAATGACAAACAACGTAGCATGTGATGATAACATCAAACGACACATCAAACAATGACATAACACGAAGAAACACTTGCGTTTGTTGGTCATCGTCATAGAGATGAGGGATCACGATCGTACTTTGTTCGCACAACTTCAATACTCGCCAATCGTCTAGTTCAACCCAATCCTAAGGTTTACCACCGTCGTTCGCATAGCCCAACACAACACCACATTCGTATCTAATTGTTAATTCTCAAAATCTCCCTCCTACAGTTCTAAATCCCTTGAATGTGCGATTCGATTAATATTTATGAAATTCAAAAACTCATCTCAACAACACCTCACTACGACATCTGATTCACGTTTTCCCCTAGAATTCTAACAAAATTTGTGTTTCCAAATTTGGGGATTCCATTTTCCAATTACTGTTTTAGTCAAACGGGTCGGACTCCTAAACTTGGTAACATACGTTTCATAACAATGTGTTTGGAAACACTGCACCGACGCTTAAGATATCTAAACATGTCCTACCATTTAACACCACGTCACATAACTCACAATTCACTCCAGTAAATGACGATTTTGTCAATCAACATACTAAAGGACTGAATGGTTCACAAGAAATAATTTTGGACCATTTGAAACATTATATCACAACACGGGATTTACCGGTCAATTTTTCATTTTATAATGAGTGATTAAAAAATATGAGAGAGTATGAAAATTTATAATTACCCTCCGACATTAGGACTAACCAATATTTTTGATTATTTAGATGACGTAGCATTATTGATTTATTTATTTGTTAATTTTCACCCTAAGGCCATGTTTGATTCACAAGACTAATAGTGAAAGTATTAATAATCCCATCAAATTAGTATGGTATTCACTACCCAATTGAATTAGTAGCATAAATTATCCCCTTATCCATTGTTTGATTTGCATTGGATAAGAAAAATATATAAATATAGGATTACAACTATATTTGTTTTCTTTTCCAATCTTACCTTCCATTAATATTTTTTCACAATCTTTACTTTATCAAAATTTCCTGAGAAACATAGTTTTGAAAAAAATTATAAATAAATAAATAAAAGTAAAATAAAAATACAAAATACAAAGGTCATGTTTAATTTGTTTTTAAATTTTTTTAATAAATATAAATTAATTTAAATATCAAAAAATATTTTTAAATTTTAAAAAATTATCTTTAGCCTTCTAAAATATAAAATTATATAAAAATAAAAAATGTTTTATTTTTTCATGAAACTAATTTTTATTTTTTATTTTTTAATTTTTTTTGAAAACCATACTAGTCCTATAAATATTCCATTATTAATAATTTTATAAATTTATTAAATTAATTATTTATTAAATTAATAATCTTAAAATAAAATTTTAGAACAAATACAAAATTATTAATCTCACGAATTAATAATTTTAATCTTATACCCTAATTCTGTGAGTCAAATATACCTAAACGTTCTAACGTAGCAGAGCAACGGGGCTAATGCGAATCGCATGACCGACACTTGTCATCTTACAACACGCCGCGTACGCGTATAGAGGGCATTAAAGTAATTTCATCCCATTCCAAAGGATAACGTTATATTCTGATATTTTCTCTCTCTCTTCTTCCACCTTTTAGCGCCTATAAATAAGAGGCCTTGGAGCTCTATGTCTCTTCACAAATCCAATCGATCATATTCAGATCCCCAATTTCCCATCCATTTTTCTAGTGCGAGAAAAAGAGAGAAAATGGCAGGAATCATACACAAGATAGGAGAGACCCTCCACATCGGAGGCCAAAAGGAAGGTGAGAAGCAACACAAGGAAGGTGAGCACAAGCCAGAGCACCATGGCGATATGCACAAGTCGGAACACTACGAAGGAGAAAAGCACAAATCTGAAGGAGAGAAGCACAAATCGGAGCACCACGGAGATGAGCACAATGAAGGAGGGTTCATGAGCAAGATCCATGGTGGTGGTGATCATCATGATCATGAGGAGAAAGGTGAGAAAAAGAAGAAGGAGAAGAAGAAGAAGCACGAGGATGGACACGAGCGCCATGGTCATGACAGCAGCGACAGTGATAGCGATTAGATCGCTCGCATTATACTTCTTCCCCTACACTACTTAGAAGGTAATATATATATATATATATATACGCATGTTGGTTAGATTTGATGTGAATTTGTATTGTATATATATATATATCAATAGTTTTGAAAATAAAATTTAATGATAAATAAAATTTATTATTATTATTTTATTTTTATTACCCTAAACGGATAGGAATTTGTAAAATTTGTCGTGTGATTGTGGCCCCCTTTAACCTTTTTCATTATGAAAAAAGAAAAGGTCAACCCAACCATCCACTTTTTATATAAATTTTTTTTATAATAAGGTCAAGTTTGGCTACAAAGAAAAAAGTGCACTTATTTCATCTTTTTATCTTTTTTAGGTCACATCAATCAACATCTCCTCTCTACTTTTTCTACACATAATACAAAAAAAATCAAAAAGTGCACTTATTTACTCTTCTCAAACTAGGCCTAAATACTCTTTATTATATGATCCTGTTATGACATTTGATAATAAATTATTTTGATATTAGTTATAATTTTATTATTTATTTATTGTGATTGTAATGTATCTATTTTAATTATTATTTTAGTTATAATTGAAAATATATGTGAAATTTGATTAGAATCATTATTTATTTTCTAATTATAACTGAAAATAATTTAGTTAAACGTCATAACTTGTCTCTGATGTATATAGCAGCATGATCATAATGTGGCAAGGATATTTTTTTATTACATTTTGTATATTATGTAATGTAATGTGTTACTACTTTATTGTTAATGAGAATATGTGATGACACTCATTGATTTAATACAATAATAACCTATGAGATAATATATAAAATGTGATGTAATGAACTGATTGGCATAGCATTGGTTTGTGTGTTGTTATTTCGTTGCAGGTGGGTTTTGACTCTGAGGTGAGCTGCAAATAAGAGGCCAATCGAGATTTGGTGTGGTGGGAGGGAGAGAAATAAAATCTTGCTTTGAATATCTAGTAGTGTTATGAGATGTTATTAGTGTGGGTGTGAATGTAATGTCTACAGATGATGATATGTTATATATAAATTTAGAAAAATATTAATGAAATGTTTCTCTTCTGTTTTATGGGGATGAAGTGAAGGAGGAATACTCTAATTCAATGGTCCAGATGAATTCTTTGTAATCTAAGTCCTAATAATTAGGTTGCATATGATATGATGTACAGTCCTTAAGAGTTGCGCACCTTAATGTGGTGTCTGAATCATAAATTTGAATAGCTATTTAGGTTAAGTTTGTCAATTCAAAAATAATTCATCATTTTATATTTTTATTTTTTTTTCATCATATCATTTTTTTATTTTTTTGTACACTTTTTTATAAAAAGATAAAAAATACATTTATTTTAGGTCATTCCAAATAATCCTTAAAAAGAAAATGGAAAGATGGTAGGGGAAAAAGTTTTTTTGTTTCTTTTTTTGATAACTCAACAAGTTCTATGGACCGACCAATTAATTTGGGAGTCTAATGTTGTGTTTGGTTGAGGGATTTGAGGAGGGATTTGGAAAGAGAAATGGAAAAGGTAGTTTCACACATCTTTTCCCTTTCCCTTTCCAAATTCCTCCTCAAATCCTCCAACCAAACACACCATAAGAGTCTACCAGCAGGGGTCCATTTATAAAGTTGGGGTAGAGCCGGTATGAATTAGTCTTAAGAAATTGTTTGTAACTTGTGCTACGAAATTGTTTACATTTAGATCCTGTTTATTTTTAGGGATAGAATGGAGAGAATTGATAGTGAGGAAATTAAGTAAAATTGTATTTGTTTTGATAATAATTGTTAGGGTAGGAATCGTTAAATTATTTTTATATAAAATAATAATACAAATAAAAAAAATACAAAAAATTAAATATTAATGTTCAAAAAAAAAAAATGCCCAACATGAACGAATAAAAAAAATAAAAAAATTTTAATCCCTTCACTATTTTTCTAATACTACCTCCACTTGTTCCATCTCAATCCTTCTTCCAACCTCCATCTTAATTCCCTCTTCCATCTTAATCTCTTCCCCAACTCTACAAACAAACACAATACTAAATGGGTCCCACCTCCATCCTAATTCCATCCTATCTTCTACACCTTAAAACAAACGGGAAGAAGTTTTGGACCTAACCGAAGACTATAGAGGGAGCATAACCTATGATTATGGAGGGAGCATATCTAAGTCTTAAAGGGGCACACCGCCAACCATTGGGATTGGTGGGGAAAAAGTTTCACCCACCATTTTTCTTTCTCTTTTTATATTCTCATTCAAATTTCTGATTAATCGTAACGAAATTCATTGCATAACTACTTTTTTTTTTTTGTTTTTTGAATCTCATATCTCATCAGACTTATATAAGGAAAAAGAAAAATGAAAAATGAGAAATAAAATTTTAAATGTCTTCTATTCTCTTTTGTTTTGAATGATTCTATTCATAGGGAAGGGTAAAGAAGAAGAAAAATAATACAGAAAAAGAAAATTTCAAGAGCAAAGGAAAAACAATGAGGAAAAAAGAAAGAAAACACGAAAAGGAAAAACATTCCCAAACCTCTTTTGTTAGGTTTTTATAATTTGACAATTCAGTTTAACAAAAGAAAATTTAGTTGTAATTTTACGCGCTCTTATGTTTTAGTGAGGATATGAGAATTTAGATGCCAATCTAATCTGAAATGTGCTTATACAAAGGAGTTTGTGATCTTGAGGCTTTCATATTTGTCACTTTGCTGACTATATACGAGAATTGAGTTGTTTGTCAGAGTTATTTGATTACTTGAGCAGTCATTTGTGCGCTTAAACGGTGAATAAGAGCATCCTGTATCTTTGCCTGCAAACTGAACTTTTGAGAGGTAAGTTTTATCACTCGAGCAGTGAAAATGTGTGCTTGAGTGATCAGCCTATATATTTTACACCACCTTTACTCACATCGCTTAAGCGATGAAGTGTGCGCTCGAGCAGCTTTCGCGATCCTATTTTCTATAAAGTATGTCGCTCGCTCTTTTTAGGGTTTAACCCGTCTAGACTTTTAGAGAGAAAGAAAAATCAAAGTGTGATATATTGGAAGGTGTTTCATAAGTGCGTCCTTGATGATTTGAGAGTGATTAATGAATCAACAAGCTTTATATTGATATCATCAAGGGCTTTGTCTTTATTCTTTTATATATAGAGAGAGGTGTTCTTCAGTGGATTCCAGGAAACTTGTGCCTAAAACTTTGGTAGATTCAGGAGTAGTTCATCATCGTGGATTCGAGATCGGTGTTGTGGATTTAACGTTGGGTAAAACAGTTTCATGGCGAAGACAGTGTTGGAAGAGGCACATCAGGTTTGGTTTAATTCGGGCGTGGATTCGCTAGGTAATTGAGAGTAATCTTGTGTAATTCTTTTTTGTCTTCTTAGTGAATTGTTTTGTGGCTTTGGCCCATTATTTTTTTTTTATCACAATTGGAGGTACTTTAATTGTGTTTTTTCACGTTAAATCGTTACGTCGATTTATTTTTGATTATTTGATTGGAATTGTTATTCATTGTTTAAAATTAAAACATAATCACAAATCAATATCTCAGATATTTTAGATTTTTCATCTTTTTTTGGAGCTTTAAAACTAGGAGGGAAATGAGAAAGAAATTGGGTGAAAATTAATTTGATGGAAAAAAGAAGGAATAATTTTATAAATTTCCGTACTTTTTCCGTTCATATTCATATTATTGCAAGAAAGTATTGTAGGGAATATGATTCTACATGGAGTATGTTTTGCACAAGCATCGTGCGTTTAGGATCACTATAAATATGTATCGGGAGTGATTTAGTGTAGTTTTTATATTTTTTTAATATTTATTTTGACAGATTATGTAGTGTAACTTCTATTTATTAGGTTAAAATAATTTAAATAAACCAAAAAATTTGTTATCTTAAAAAGTGAGTGAGGTGTCTTTTATTTTTATTTTTTGATTGTTAACTTTTAACTAAAGTTAATAATAAATTGTACTAAATAGTTCAACTAAAGTTAATAATAAATTGTACTAAATAGTTCCAATGAGCATGAGCATGGAGGATCCTTCTTTTATTGCAAGCATGAGAATGAATCTATGTAAATATGATAGATAACCCTCCTGCATTTGCAAATGAAGATAGGCATGGGGAAGTAAGCCTAAACACATATATTGTTTGATAATATGGTATTCAAGTTAATTTATGTGCATTTTGACTAAATTCTTAGACCTTGTAGTTAATGACTGAACAAATCTCTAACAGTTTCAAAATTTAGGATATTCCGCTTTTTTGAGTTTTGAACCGACAATCTCTTAGGTGGGTAGCCCTTTGGCTCGTAAGCCCTTTCACTAAGCCAAACCCCTTGGTTGGGAAGTGGGCCTATATGAGTCACCTAGATGGGCTGGGCTCAGTGGGGAAAATTGTACTAAATAGTTCAACTAAAGTTAATAATAAATTGTACTAAATAGTTCCAATGAGCATGAGCATGGAGGATCCTTCTTTTATTGCAAGCATGAGAATGAATCTATGTAAATATGATAGATAACCCTCCTGCATTTGCAAATGAAGATAGGCATGGGGAAGTAAGCCTAAACACATATATTGTTTTATAATATGGTATTCAAGTCAATTTATGTGCATTTTAACTAAATTCCTAGACCTTGTAGTTAATGACTGAACAAATCTCTAATAGTCCCAAAATTTAGGATATCCGGCTTTTTTGAGTTTTGAACCTACAATCTCTTAGGTGGGTAGCCCTTTGGGTCGTAAGCCCTTTCACTAAGCCAAACCCCTTGGTTGGGAAGTGGGCCTATATGAGTCATCTAGATGGGCTGGGCTCAGTGGGGAGGCTTAGTCTATTAGTGAAATTATCAGAAGAGGCCTTGGCCCTAGTATTACTGTTCAACACCTGACAAGTTAGCTCATTCAATGTTAAAAGTCCAACGAAAGTTTGATCAACAGGGTTGGTAACTGGTATACTAGTCTAGTGTTGGCAGAGGCTTAAGGTCATGGGCTGCTCTATATTGCCAAAAATTGAAATGTAGGGATTTATTTTATGAGGATTAAAGTGAAATTTTACTCAAATTAAAAAGATTAATGATTTAATCTACCTTTTATTTCACTCTCTCTCACACGTAAATTGGGGTAAAAATGATTGGTTGGGTTCTCTCTTTTATGATTTTCAAAAATTTGTTTTAGATTTGTTTTCGTTATTTTATTGGTGGGATTGTATTGACAAAAAAATTGTAATTCAAGGGGTAAGATAATTGTGTCAAAAAGAGTGAATGCGGAGAAAAAGAAGTTTGTACCAAAAAAAAAAAAAAAAAAAAAAAAAACCCTCTCTATTTTTGAGAAAGTAAAAAAAAAAAAAAAAAAATTTTTAAAAAAAGGAAAAAAAAAAATTTTAAAAAAAAAAAAAAAAAAAAAAAAAAAAATCACCTTACATTGGTACATTGAAGTCGAATTGCTAAAAATGACTATAGCATGCCGTTATAGCTATTTTATATTGGCCTCGTTTGGGAAGTGACTATTTTAGAGATTTTTTGACTTTTTGGCTATTTTAGTAGGCTATTTAGTTTTTGTGTTTGGGAAGATGAGATGAATTTTTAGTTGAGTTGTTGTATTGAAAAATGTGTTGAAATGATGTTTGAATTTAAAATGACAAATTTGTCCCTAAATTATAATTTTTTAAATTGATGTAAAGGGGTAAAATGGTAATTTAGCCGTTGATGATGACTTTTGAGGCTGTGACACCTACACTGTCCGGCGCTGAGCCTATTTATTTTATTTTTTTTTGAAAAACTTTGAACAGTTTTGCTTTTTAGCTTATTTCTCATTTCAGGTTATAATAGCCTCAACCCACCATTCCCAAACAGCGCCATGATAAAATTTAGATCATCTGTGACTAACTTATGAAGTTAATTGTAAAATGTATTTTATATGTTTAACTAATTTTAAAAACAGAAATGAGACTATGTTTTGTTTTAATTTTTTGGATTTAATTTTTTAAAATTGAGTTTTTTTATTGTTTTTAGTTAATATTTTTAAAATTTTAAGCAATTTTTAAATTTTTTTTAAATACACCTTATTAAGATGTATC